AAGACCACCCGTAACGTGTAAAAACTGTCCAGAAAAACTGTTGTCTCGGAGGCCCCTCAGAAGTCTTCTCTGTATAATTTCTTCTTGCTGCACAATAATTGCCGCGTACATAATAATTATTTCCTCCATGAATAATATTCTGCAACGGGTACTATTATGATATGCATACGCAAATAATAACTTTTTAACACACCTATTTAGGCAAATAAAATGGTTTCACAGTTTTCAGTTAGTAAAATTTTGCAACTTTTTTCTGTAAAATTAATAAATTTGAAAATATTAACATATGTTTCAGCGTTGTCACGTACTCAATAGGTCATCACGAAAATACTAGCAATTGTCACTGTTTGGAGCTTTCAAATTGCCCTCTGCATACCTAAACGTGACAATTGATTATAAACATGACAATAGTTATAGCGGCAAGTTTTGTCATTGCACGCGAATAGGGCTGTAAGAAAAAACCGGATAATCCGGTTTTATTTTACTTAGTTTTCATACAGTGCAAATGCTTATGCTGGTATGAAGTCATGACCAAAAATTTCAATAAAACTATAAGAATCAAAGGTAGCTTTGTTTAGGAAAGAGCAAGAGCAAAATAAGTTCGAAATTTTTGTATTTTGAAGCGAATTTCCGTCATTACTTGTCAAATTTGATATGGGGACAAACCGGTATCGCTCATGTGCCATATTCAGTGTCATTTTCGTTCTCGAATAACACTGAAGATGGCACAGCGCCGAAACTGGTGTTTCTTTAAACCAAATTTGGCAAGGGTTGACGCAAACTTGTTTCAGGATACATCGTATACAAACCCTGTGAAAATTTTTGCATTTTTCTGACTTTCTTCGATTAAATTTTTGGTCCCAACAACATCAAAACAAGTTTTCCAAATAGCTCTCGTCCCTCAGCATACAATGGCAAATCTCCGATCATATAAAAGCTTCTGTCATATAAACGCTTTTTCGGATCTGGAGTAAGAGTGCAGATCTCTCCATTTAGGACTTTCCCTTAAACTGGAAAAAGCCTTGAAAACTTCGAAAAACTCGAAATTTTAATTAAGGGGTCAAGATTTGAACGAAATGAAAAAAACCGGTTTTCCGATAAAAAAAAAAAGATTTAAAAAAACCACCTATAGATATAAAAAAAAACAGTGAAAACCGGTTTGGAAAAACCGAGTCAATCGCCCTAATGCGCACGTTTACTAAAACAAGCAATTTTTATATACCAATGCACTTTTTTATGGATTCTCTAAACTTTCAAATGATTTTAAAAAAATATATAGTCGTCTAAAGAGTTTATCCAAAATTCTAAACGCCTGCCTGCTGCCGTTCCTACTTTATTATTCCATGTGCTCGTATGCACTCAGAATTCGCTCAAATGTAGGTCAGCAGGATGCATTCGTTGACTAAAACGAAAAAATTACTTTGTGCTAAACACAAGCCATCGTGGCATGTGCACATTGGAATTTAATGAAAATTTATGCCTGAACTTTTGCTTTCATTTTTGTGACTGACAGATATGTGGGTGGTTTGGTTGCTTGATTACACGTACGTACACTTCCGCAGAGAGAGAATGGATAGGAAACTGTTGATATTTATTTTATTTTAGTTGATATCAAGCGGATTGTTTACTGGTCAGTGAAGTTGGCGTAGCAATTGGCATTTAACTTAAAACTATAAACAATAGATATGGTCTTAAGTTAGCAGGTTTTTTTTTGCTGCCAGTGTCTTTCATATAAAAGAAAATTTTCGAACATACTTTTGTAATAAAAGGCGAAAAAAGGCCGATGCCGATGCCGATACTCAATTTTGTGCCGATACTACCCGATGCCGATTATCGGTCGGACTCTATTCATTACGCTACGCACACACTGCAGCCGGCATTGGCCGAATTGTGCTTGGCCGATATCGGCTAAATGAAGTAACACTTGTGATACAAAATTGAAATGAAAACTAGATTTGTGCGTACAAATGCAGTCGGCAAATAATCTGGTTAAGTGTGCGCATCAGTTCGGACGGTCAAATTGTTCGGCCGAAATCGGTCGGCTTGTCGGTAGCAATGTGGGCCTAGCGTTATACGGACATTCCATACAAAAATTAAAATTTTTTTGCGCGATGGTCATCGTTTATATTTTTATTTAAGCATATTTTGTAAAAGTACTAACACGAAAAGTGTGCACCGAAACTATTCGAATTTTGGTGATGAAGCTGTATCCGTACCATCATTAAATGCAGATGTGAAGAATTTAATAGTGGTCGTGTTTGCTTACGGCATACTTAATTACTTGTAGATTCAAAGTATTTGTTTGGACACTAAATAGTAGTTAGAGGTGATTTAAGTTATTTCTGAATACTAAATAATAATAATAATAATAATAGATTGGCGCTTACACATATGTTAGTGTTTGGCCGAGCTTCTCCTTGGCTAAATACTAAATAATTCGGGAAAATAAAAAACGCTCGGTAACTTTTACTTTTTTATTCAGGGGTTGATAATAAAATGAAATGTTTCGTGATTTGCGAAACTTTTCAAAATTTTTTCGCTACTTTCGGGACTTCTTGAAATTTCTCGTGTTTTACTTTTCTGAGATTTTTTTAAGTACTTTGGAGAATTTTTCAAGACTTTTTTATTTGTTTGTAAATTTCTAGATTTTCGGCCGCGGTTTCGGTAAGAGCGAATTTTATTTGTGCGAATTCGCACGACATCGCTACCCTACGGCCTTATGCCGACTGTGAACGGCGATTGTATTCTTCTGGAAAGATGTTGTTTCATGACAAAAATGTACTCGGAGGTTTACCATTGCCTGCCGAGGGCCGGCCGGCTTTGGAAAACCCTTTTTATTTTCTTTTACTTTTTGTTGTTGTTCGGAAACGCACTTTTAACCGCTACACCACAACGTCCGCCATTCATAAATACTATCAACATAAAAACCTAAATACTTTTGTACTTAGTATTTAGTAAATACAATTTTGCCCATCACTGATATGAACGTCATGAATCGAAAAACTTTAACATACACGTGTAGTCAAAGAATAAAACTTAAATTTAAAACAAATATTTAAAATTTACGTGCACTTATTTATTAATAAATTTGGTTTGAAATCAAAGGTGTTAAGGATTGCAGTCATTTCAAACTAAATTATTCATTTGATTGAGTTCACAAGTGATTGCAATCATTTTTTGTTAGTCCTGACTAAGACAAAAATAGTTCAATAAAAAGGTGCATGCAATGATTGCTTTAGAATTTCGGCCTTTATTGCTGAGCGGCGCCGCCAACCATTCAGAAATGGTGCTCATTGCGTGACCGCTTCAATAGTATTTCATATGTTCTAATCTTAAGCCGCTCGCCGCTTTGCCGCACACTGCGTGGCCTCGGCCTTAGACTGCGCAAAAATGACTAATTAGTAATGAATAACGGAAAAGACTAATGACTTCAACTTTGCAGTCTTTAGTCAAGTATGTCGTTGATGCTGTAGTTTATACATGTGTACATCACCAATTTAATACGGAAACTTACAATATTTTAGCAATAACTTACATTGTGTATTAATTTTGTGTAGCGAAGAAAAAATCAAAACACAGAGATAGAGAACTGTCAAATCGAATTAAGAATTTGCCCGTGTAAATGGGGTAATTCGCGATCGTAATAGGAGCAGCGTACAAAGTAATTAAGCCGTGGGAAAGCCGTATTACCCTTAACAACACTGAAAGACTAGCTAACGACGCGTCTTCAAAGGCGAAAATTATTGCCTACCATATGTCATTTTGTTTGCCAAACACGTATAAGTTTTATCAGTGGCAATATTTGCGTGTGGGGATTTTTCATTGTATGTGTTATTTAACGTCCAAGTACATAATCAAAAATAACACAGGCCCAGCGGCGGCTCCAGACTTTTTTTTGGGGTGTGTTTTCCGGGGAATTTGCCACTAATTCTTATTACTGTAAACGAGTAATTCTTGTATATATATATTAGGGTGATCCAGAGTAACTAACCTGACGAATTTGTGGCCTTAAATGACCTATTCACTGAGAAAGAAATTTTCCCATTTGGAAACATTTTTATTTCAAGTTAAAAGTTTTCGGTTGACACTTGAAATTTTCTATGTAAATAACATGTAAAAAAATTTGTTTTCATAAAAAATATTTTAACTTTTGAACCGTTAAGAAAAGTTATGAAGAGGGATAGAGGTTTTTCTAAGCATATTCTTGTAGGGCATTAAACTCTCTAAAAAATTACCCAGAAGTTGGTTGTCTTAGAGACGATTAAATGTATTAAATATGTTAATATATTGTTGGACGAGGTATAGCCTTGATAGAAAATTGTAATCGAACTTTCGCGAAAGACGAAGAATGAAAGCAATTTCTTTTGCAAGTAATACAATTACAGTTAAATAATTAAAAAAGTAATTTTTAAGCAAAAACACAACCGACTTCAATCCTCATATAAAAATTTAGGAGTACCGTTAATTTTTTCATAATCCAATGATCGGATCTAAACCAAATTAATATGGGGCCACCTGTGAGACACTACCTTTCCGATAGAAGAATAATTATCGAAATCAGTGGAAGTGGTCGAATGTATGCGGTAACATACAAGAAAAACAAAAATATTCCGACGAATTGATAACCTTCTTTGTTAAGTTGGTTAAAAATAAATATTCAAAACTTGTTAATATGTAGCGGTCTTATGATTATACAACGCAGCGTACTATTAACTTGTTTGACTTATGATAAGAGAAATTTTGAATTGTTAATTTTTTCGTTATTTAGTGTTAAAATAAATATAAAATTTTTTTTGTGATTTCAATGTGGAAATTTGTCCTCCGGGAATGTTAAAAAATTCTGGTCACCTTACCTTAATCAACCTTTCGACAATGCTCTCATTGATCTGCTTTGTGGCCCAGTTCAATTTTAAGCCGAAATTCTAAACGTTTTGGCAGTTTCCTTTTCATTAGCTTGCTTTTAACCATTGTCCAATACCTACTCTCAATGTGCCGACACTATGGGTATTCACTGCCTTTGGAGCAAAATCAAAATTGTTGCATTGAAGAAAGGTAATGGTGGATATAAAAATTACCATTTAAAAATTATTTTTGTAGATCTTTATCATACAAATTGAATTTCAAAATTATTTTGGAGTGTAATTTAAAAACTAGAAATAAGGGCCATTCTCTATCTATACATACCCATAATTAATGTGATTTCCAATTCTATTCTACAGGGCAAAGTGTACTTGTTCGACAAAGTCTTCAAGCCAAATGCATCCCAAGAGAAGGTATACAATGAGGCTGCCAAGTCCATTGTTACAGACGTGCTGGCCGGTTATAATGGTACGATTTTCGCCTACGGTCAGACGTCTTCCGGTAAGACACACACCATGGAGGGTGTTATCGGTGATCCGGCGAAGCAAGGTATCATACCGCGTATCGTCAACGATATCTTCAATCACATCTACACAATGGAAATGAACCTTGAGTTTCACATAAAGGTCTCATACTATGAAATCTATATGGATAAAATTCGTGATTTGCTTGATGTCTCGAAAGTGAATCTGAGCGTGCACGAGGATAAGAATCGTGTGCCGTATGTAAAGGGTGCTACAGAGCGCTTCGTCTCGTCGCCCGAGGATGTGTTCGAGGTGATCGAGGAAGGAAAATCAAATCGGCACATTGCTGTGACAAGTAAGTACGCCTAACGTTATATCTAATTGTAAGCTTTTAATTGCTTTTTTGTCTTCGTTATTTTTCTTTCAGACATGAATGAACATTCTTCGCGTTCGCATTCAGTATTTTTAATCAACGTGAAACAAGAGAACTTGGAGAACCAAAAGAAACTTTCCGGCAAATTGTACCTTGTAGATTTGGCTGGTTCGGAGAAGGTATCCAAGACTGGCGCCGAAGGTACTGTACTTGATGAAGCTAAAAACATCAACAAATCATTGTCTGCCTTGGGTAATGTGATCTCCGCACTGGCGGACGGCAATAAGACGCACATACCGTATCGTGATTCGAAGCTAACGCGTATCTTGCAAGAATCTTTGGGTGGTAATGCACGCACCACAATTGTGATTTGTTGCTCACCAGCTAGTTTTAATGAGGCTGAAACCAAATCGACGTTGGAGTTCGGTCGCCGCGCCAAGACCGTTAAGAATGTGGTTTGTGTCAATGAGGAACTTACGGCTGAAGAGTGGAAACGACGTTATGAAAAGGAAAAGGAGAAGAACGCACGCCTTAAGGGTAAGATTGAGAAGTTGGAACTGGAGTTGGCTCGTTGGCGCGCCGGTGAAACCGTTAACGCCGAAGAGCAGGTCATTGTGGATGACCCCATGGAGGCAAGTACGCCCAATTTGGAAGTGGAGGCTCCAGCGAATACTGCTGGTCCTGTGCCTGCAACTCCTGCGGCCGGCCTTATGGTGGGCTCAATCACCGGCGATGAGCGCGCACGTCTAGAGGCTGAGCGCGAACG